CCAGCATAAACTATGAGATTAATAAATATTTGTTATTTAGCCCTCAATTGAATTGAATCGTTTTAAATGAATTGACTTTGTCCATAATAAACTAAAACGTTCGCGCCTTCCCATTTTTTCCCTCCTACCTTCCTTCTGCCTGAGAAGACTATATAGAATCACTGTAGAATGTTGGAGCGGAAAGAATAACTAGCGATCTGCTCTAGCCCAATACAGACATTTTAAAAATGAAGAAACTAATCATATTTCGCCTCTATTTGTCTTGATGAAAAAGCTATTGCCCATTTAGACCTACTGCGGATAGGTAAACCAATTCTCTGCTTTACTTTAATGGGGCTTGAGGTTGAGGGCTGCTCTGTGACCTAAAGGAAACCGTTAAGGGTCTTAACTTTCCAACCTAATTCATTTTTTTTTCTAATGGCTCCTCTTCCTCCTTACCCTCAACCAAAGCAAACTTGACAGCACTGGGGTTTCAGTCTTGAAGTAGAAGGAAAAGAGGCAACTGGGGCGGTATTTTTTTCATCCCTTGATGGAGTCCATTCCTTAAAGAGAGCTTTGGGGGAAGTGAGGTTTGGTGGGACCGCAGCTATGCAGAGGTTTAAAGAGACGGGAATATGATTAGTAAATACATTGTGCAGAATGGAGCTGGATTCATATTGACTTAGTTATAGGTCATCGGCTGGCGGTGCAATGGGAGGAAATATTTACTTTACACATATACTCTATGTTCTTGGGGGAATTAGAGGAAATTCAATAAGAAAACGTCCAGAATCATTTAAAACCCTTATTTAAAAGACTTAAGCAAATTAGAGTCTTATCAGATTAAAAACCACTACAAATGTAAGAGCATTGTCTTCATGGAAACATGTGGGGTCTGAGAAGGAGATTCTTTGCCAAATCTGAGGGATAAAACACGTCATTTAAGTACCAGATAATGAGGAGAATGTAAATTAATTTAACCTTCTTTACCAACAGGCTGCCGATGTAATATGTATAATTTAGTGATAAGAATGCAAGATAAAATATAGAGGCCTTTATGAGCATCAGCTAATGAGGACCTATCTTAAGAAAGAGAATAGGGGATCCTATCAGGTGTGTGCTGTGAGGAGGGGATGGGGTATGGGCGGTGGAAAAGGAGACAACTAAAACGAGAAAATATACTTTAGCTTATGATGTGTCTAGTATAAAGAAAGCCCCTGGAGTAGCTAAATTCTCGTAAAAGTTTGAATATAATTGTGGGGAAAGAAAGACAAACATTCATTTGCTTTTCTAGACTAATTCCTCCAGGGTTGTTTAAAAGTGTGGGGGGAGGTGGGGAGAGCTGTAGAAAGAGCTTGTTTTCGGCAGTACAAAGGAAAGACACGTAGGTTTCAAATATATTTGCATTCTGATAGTTCTGCCCTTTTCCAAACTGAAACAAGTTTCTAAATCATGTGAACAAGGCCAAAGAGGTAGAATTTCTGAAGATACCCAGTATTGATGCTGCAAATCATTGACAGTAACGTCAAACAAATACACACTCGGTGACGATAACACTAACTCCACAATAAAACAATCACAAGTGCAGAAACCCAAGGAGAGATTAGTTTGCGATCTCCGTGTGACCTATGAAAGGACAAAAGTTGTTTTCTGTTTTATTCTTTTTTCTAACCAATTACTTGGATTCCCTTTAGGAAAAACATATGTGTGTGTGTGTGTGTGTGTGTGTGTGTGTGTATACATATATGGGATAGATAATTGACGGAGCAGTAGCGCTGTGAATGTTCTGCGTCTCAAAAGGTTGTGTTTTCTCTTGGCTTTATAAATCTGTAAGGTTTTACATTACCTAGCTCAGATCTCAATCCAAACTTTCTACCTTCGTGATACCCCTTACCCCCTGGATTTTTGAGCTTATAGATCGCAGTTCACCGGATTAAAAAGAGAGAGAGAAATAGGGGGAAATATAACCAGAAAATATAATCAAGAGATTTTTTTTAATTGACATTGAAATAAGAAATTTGGAAGCGTTTTTTAATTGTAGAACATTCATTAAAGCATATCTTATATGTAATTAGCCCAACTTTGTTGATTCTTTGGGCTTTGTGGGCTTGAAGCTGATTGATAATAAAGTAAACAAGCGAGTCAGATTTAAAGCAGGGTTTCAGTGAGGACAAGCTTAATACAGCGTACAAGGAATTTAAAAGATCTAGGATATGTGTCTTAATCAATGTTAAGTAGCAAGGATAAGCCTTCAGTCATTTGGCAAGCGCTAGTTTGGACTTTCTATGCCATTGTAAGATTTGCTGAGAGTGGGGGGGGTCGTCTAAAGAGAACACAGTGATCTGATGGCTTATTTTATGAAAAAATCTAGTATGAATAGTAATTCTTCATTTCTATTCAATATAATTGTCGTTTGTGTGACAGTGGCTTCATTTGCTTCTAGTTATCAGTAGTCTTCTTGGGGGTTGTCTTCCTTGAAATTAAAGTAAAGCATATGAAGATTAGGATAGTATTTGCCTGACAGACAGAAGTTTGGAATAGGAAATTTTGAGATGGGGGGGTGATTTATTTTTTTTTCCTGGTGGGAAGCAAACGAAGCACCGTTTAATGCAGCCAATGATTTTGGAGAGGCACAGAAAAGGAAGATGAAATGTACTGAGCCTATCTCCTGTGTTCTTTGGCCTTTCCTCTCCTCGCTCCCTCTGCCTTCTGAGGTTCTCATATGCCCTCCCTTCCTATAATGAAAATCTCCTGACGTTGGGATAGAGCAAGACAGAGACTTTTTCTCGGGACAGGGTCCCTAACAGACCTGATATGAAAAGTGAATTATTTAGCCCAGCCCGACTCCCCTGATAGGTGCCGGTCTAGATAGTCTCCCTTCCTCAACTCGCAAGCCTCCTGATTGGTGGGCAGCGACGTCATTCCTGCCGTGAGAGGAGGTTCCAGGGGAGGGGGAGGAGGTGGAGAAGGGCTGAGGAGGGAAGGGGCAGAATGACGTTTGTGCCCAAGGAAGACCGCCTCTGGTTTTAAGATGTTAGGCCAACAGGGAAGGGGCTGAGCCGCTGCTCGGGTCCGCTGCTTGCTTGGGTGCTGTGAGCGAATCTGGGTGTGAGGCAGGGCTAGAGGAAGGGGGTCGTATGGGCTTGTGCGCGTGTAAGTGCGCTTGTCTGTGACTGTCCGTGAGTGTGTGTGTGTGTGTGTGAGTGAGTGTGCGTGCGCGCGCGCGCGTTTTTGGGGGAGGACTCTCGCCGCCGCTGCTGCTGCCGCCGCCTCTTTGGATATGATTTCATCTACCTGTCCCTGTCACTCTTGACACTTCTCTGTCAGTGCTGCTTGCAAAGAGGGAGGGCAGAAGTCGTGCTTTTTCGGGTGATTATTGTTAGGCTTACTCATCGCAGGGCTCCTTTTCTCCCCCTACTCTTTCTTCCTTTTGGGTGCTGTCTCCAGAAGGATCCTGCCAAGCTGTGCTCTCCTCCCCACCCCACCACCACTCCCACGCCCCTAAAACCCCATGCCTCTCTTTTCTCTGGGACTGGGACTCCTTCTGGGTCCGGCAGGGTTCTCCCACTGAGATATCCAGAAGAACTCTCTCTGTAGACAGGGTAACTGACGAGTGGTTTCTTGGACCCGGCTGTTGCCACTGCCTCTGCTGTTTGTGTTTCCGAGCGCTTGGCAGGCAGCGGCGGCAGCAGCGGTGGCCCGGGACGGCGAGCCTGGAGTGCACCTCGGAGCTAGCGCCTGCGGTCACTGGACTTAGGGGGTGGGGGGTGGGGGGCGTAAGGGCGCTTTCCGAAGACTTGCAGCAAGACGCTTGGCGTTGCGCTTCCTTTGGTCAATGAACTGCATGAAAACCCCGTTCCACTTGGAGCATCGAGCCGCAGGGACTAAGCTGTCTTCCTCCTTCTCCTCTTCCTCCTCTTCCTCCTTCTGTCACCATCACCAACCACCACTGGCCATGGCTTCGGTTCTGGCTCCAGGGCAGCCACGCTCGCTGGACTCCAAGCACCGGCTGGAGGTGCACACCATCTCAGACACTTCCAGTCCCGAGGCCGCAGGTAAGGGAACGGGACAACCCTGCCTCTGCCCAGCTCCCCCACGGCCCAGTCCTACGTCGCCCCCTATAGCTTCCAGAGAAGTCTATCTGCCTTGCATCTGGACCCCTGATCGGGGCCTCCAGCAGCTAGTCCCAGGGACTCCTCCCAACCAGCCCCGGGACGCTTCCCTACCTGCCCCGGCCCTGTTCACTCACTACCTCCTCCTCCTTTCTTCCCCTGGATAGAACTGGCTGGTTGGCCTGAGGAAGTAACTCTGTGGTCCTAAGCCTACTTTAGAGAGCCTATTAATTGCTACCCGCCAGTTCCCTAAACCCTTGTTTCCCTTTCTGAATCTTGGGGTGCAAAATCCCACCTTGCAGTTTAGCAAAGGGCGGTGACATTGCGTGCCCTGGGCTTCCTGTGTGTCCCCTTCTTCCGACTTCAGCCCTCCAGGAGCTGGAGGGGCTGTGGGTAGGAAAGCAGCAGGCAGTTCCTGACCTCTCCTCGAAACTCCTTAGGAAGATGACAGGATTAGCTCTAGGGCCAGGGAACTTCAGTGCAAGCGAGGGCCCAGATTTGTTCAGCCCTCCGTACCTATGTGAAACGTGTCGAAACCCGTTTTTTTTTCATCCGGGGGTCTGAACGACCAGTGTTTGTCTCGAGGCGTGTATGTGTGTGACTTTGGTGTGTAAACAGATAAATATGCAGGCACGTGCTCTAAAAAATGAACTAAGACAAACATGTAAATAGCGCGCCTTACGAGGGGGGAGGGGAAGGAAAGAAACACACACTCCCGCGTGCACACACGTAACACACAGGGAGAAGCTACAGTCATCTTCAGAGAACAGCCTCCCAGAAGAAACAGCCCAGCTCCTTCATCCAGGGCAGCTTCCATAGAAGCGAAATTTCTCGGTTGGGGATTTTTGTTGTTATTTTAGATAGGTAAGGGTGACAATGACGGGCTTCCCTTCTACTTTGTCTTTCCAGAAAAAGATAAAAGCCAGCAGAGCAAGAATGAGGACGCCGGGGCTGAGGACCCATCCAAGAAGAAGCGGCAGCGGAGGCAGCGTACTCACTTCACCAGCCAACAGCTGCAGGAGCTGGAGGCCACCTTCCAGAGGAACCGCTACCCGGACATGTCCACCCGAGAAGAGATCGCCGTGTGGACCAACCTCACGGAAGCCAGAGTGCGGGTAGGCAAGACCATTAGTCTAAGAGGGACTAGGGGTAGGAGTGGAGAGAAAGGGGATGGGGCTTGCATCGGTCTAGGAGATGCAATAGTAAAAAAGGACATAGACTGAAACTCGGGAAACTTTGGTGCCTGGCCTCTTTGCCTTTAGCTTCAGCAGAAGGGCAGCCTGCCATGCGTGTATGAGTGTGTGCAACACACGAAGCTAGACCCCTTCCCCTGCTCTATGGGAGGGCTGCGCCCTCATTTCTCTTTTCCGCGTTGCATTGTGTTTCTCTGACGTGAAACGAAATGCTAACGCTAATAAAAACACTAAAACCAGGGAAAGAGTTCAGAACAGGCTCCAACCTGCGCTGGCTTTAACTAGAAAAAGCTGTAAAATACACATTCGCTGCCGCCCTATCCTGTATTATTTATTCTCTCTCTCTCTCTCTCTCTCTCTCTCTCTCTCTCTCTCTCTCTCTCTCTCTCTCTCTCTCTCTCTCTCTCTCTCTCTCTCTCTTTCTCCTGTCTTGCTCAATTTTTCTCTCTCCCTCTAGACCACTTGCCCTTTTTTCTTTCCTCGGGTCTCCTCTTACTTGAGTTTTTTTTAACAGCCGCTCAAGCCTCTCGATTTCTACTCCCTGTATTTTGTGATTTCTGCTAACAAAATCTTAATACACAATTAGTATCCTGCTCGTTCTCTCTCCTTTTTTAAGAGTAAAAGAAGAAACGTCCTGCCAATTTTTTAGACTTTGATTTATTTAATTTTCCGTAAATAGGAGGCGCCTTTTGGAGTATGGTCCTAAAACCCTCCCAAAATGACAATTAATAGAAATTATAGGACTTACCTTAAATGTGTAGCAGGACCAGCCTTTTAAGGACCTTAAAAGACTGAATTAAAACACACATTTCCCATCCGAAAAATTCATTTTTAAACTGATCAGCCAAAAAAAAGTGTCCAAAATAAATATTAAAACACTGACATGGATATACCAAGAGATGAAGAATTTTAAATATATATATATATAATATAGGCTCCGGGAAAATGAAGAAAAAAATGAACCATTAGCTATTAATACAAATTGAACTATTAATAGTTATACAAAAAGGGGTGTGAGAGGGGATGACCCAACAACTCCAGAAACCCCAGCTGGGAAATAAGCCTCTATCTCTCTGCATGTGTTCTTGCTTAAATATGCATGTATGTGTGTTTCTCGGTAAAATAACCTGGATGAGGTTGAAAACGGTTTTAGTTTAACTGTGCGGAGCCGAGAACTTTAGTTAATACTCCATTGTTTTCGAGGAAGGTCAGTCTTTCATTAGCCTGCGTTTGCAAAGGGCCAACTGCCTAGCACGTACTTCTGCCTGGGCAAAGTTTAGGCCGCCTGGAGTGGGAAAGACTAATTCGGCATTGGGGTTTCGGTGAAATTCTAAAAACGTTTTATCTTTTGTTTTCTCTATCCCTACCTCGGCTTTCTTCGGGTATGAGCACACACTCGTGCCCGCATTAGACTAGAGTCCCTGGCTGTCTTCTGCAACGCCCTCTGCAAATACTTCCGTGCTTCCCCAGGCCAGCTTTTTGCTGAGCCGAGAGGGAGCAGAAAGCTTTTTTATTGCAGTTGGGAGCAAAGAGGAAAGGGAATGAAAAGAAAACCGAGGATGCTAGAAAGAAAAAGAGGATTAAGTGGCTAGTCCAGTGGAGATCTGTAATGTAAAACATCACTGCAGTCAGGAATGAGTTCCCAGGCACTAGGCCTCCCTGCAATCCACAAAACTGGCTGGCGGGTGGCTGGTGGACTGGCTAGCCAGATGTGGATTGGGAGCGGGGTTGTGCCGGGGCCATGGGTGGGGGCCGCCGTCTGCGAGGGCCCCTTGTCTGCTGGAGTGCCAATGCGGCTAGGCTGCGGAGGGTCCGGAGTTTGAATCCCAGAGTTAGAATAGAGTCTATTGTGCGAAGGGGGGAGGGGTGGAGAAAGAGCTGAAAAGAGGGAAAGGGCGGAGGGCGGGGGTGGGGGAGTGTGTTGAGGAGCTACCCGCTCTGGGTTACGGAAGATCTATGTTCAAAGATCTTGGAATTTAACGAGCTGTCGTCGCAGCGGGCCTTGGCCTTTTATATGCTTGTTTTGTGGGTCTGCTTAAGGGGACCTGTATTGCTTAAGCAGCTACTGAACCAGGTTGCCCTCCTGCCTCCGGGTTAGGGAGTACTCGAAAAGTGAGTGGAGAGTTAGGGTGAGGAGAAAGAGAAGCACTGCTTGAGCTTTGTACCCCTCCCCTTTTTTCATGGCTTTTGAATGGGAAAGGGAGAGGAAGAGGGAACCAGGAGAGGAAAAGAAAAGAAGAAAGGGGAGGGAGGGGGGGAGAGAGAGAGAGAGAGAGAGAGAGAGAGAGAGAGAGAGAGAGAGAGAGAGAGAGAGAGACTGAGAGAAGGAAGTTCTTAGTAACTAAAGAAGATTGAGTTTTCAAAGGACGGGGGGCGGGAGGGGGCGCTAGAAAGACAGCTGCCCATGCATTTATTTAGTCAGTGTTTCTACAGCCAGAAGAAGGACTGAACTAGTGCCCTGGACCGCAGGAAATTCAGTCTGAGAATTGTCTCTAGCCTGGGCGACCTCCCGGCAAGGATTTGTGGTCCTCCAGTGCACCCTCCAACCCTGGGGTGGTGATGGGGTGGGGAGAGTGTGTATGTATTGTATTGTGTTGTGTTGTGTTGTTTTGTGTGTGTGAGTGCGTGTGTGTGTGTGTGTGTGTGTGTGTGTGTGAGAGAGAGAGAGAGAGAGAGAGAGAGAGAGAGAAAGAGAGAGAGCGCTTTGCAGAGGCGGGTGAGGCGGCCTACGCGTAGGGAGGTAGCTGGTAAGTAAAGACAGCCAGGGGCTAGTGGCAGTTCTGGGAGGAGAGACAGCAACCGACCTGCTTTCGGTCTGCTGTGCTTTCAAGGAGCTTCACTAATCTGCGCTCTTGTCTCCTTCCTCTCTCCCGCCTGCTTCCCACCCCATTCCCTTTCAGGTTTGGTTCAAGAATCGCCGGGCCAAGTGGAGAAAGCGGGAGCGAAACCAGCAGGCCGAGCTGTGCAAGAACGGCTTCGGGCCCCAGTTCAACGGCCTCATGCAACCCTACGACGACATGTACCCGGGCTACTCCTATAACAACTGGGCTGCCAAGGGCCTCACTTCGGCCTCCCTCTCTACTAAGAGCTTCCCCTTCTTCAACTCGATGAACGTCAACCCCCTGTCTTCGCAGAGCATGTTCTCCCCACCCAACTCCATCTCGTCCATGAGCATGTCGTCCAGCATGGTGCCCTCGGCGGTGACTGGCGTCCCGGGATCCAGCCTCAACAGCCTGAATAACTTGAACAACCTGAGCAGCCCCTCGCTGAACTCGGCGGTGCCGACGCCCGCCTGCCCTTATGCGCCGCCGACCCCTCCGTACGTTTACAGAGACACGTGTAACTCTAGCCTGGCCAGCCTGAGACTGAAAGCGAAGCAACACTCCAGCTTCGGGTACGCCAGCGTGCAGAACCCGGCGTCCAATCTGAGCGCCTGCCAGTACGCGGTAGACAGACCAGTGTGAACCCCGGGGCCACTAAAGCGCCGATCCAGAAAGCGGGCGGGCGGGCGGGGGGGTACCGATTTTTAAATACCGAATGAGAAAATCCCTTCCTGGAAAGACTGAGAATTCTACTAGAAAGTAATGGGCACGGAAGAGAGAGGGAGCGAAAGAGTGAGAGAAGGAAACCACTGAAATAGAGAACGCTCTTTTGTTTTCAAACGAATTTCCTCAGTTTCTGACATCTTTCACTAAAAGTATTTCCAACAGTAACAAGGACATATATATATAAATATATATGGACAAATGTTGACTGGATATGACATTTTAATGTTACCATAAGCTTGTTATTTTTTAAGTTTAGCATTGTTAACATTAAAAATGACTGAAAGGATGTATATATATGGAAATGTCAAATTAATTTTATAAAAGCAGTTGTTAGTAATATCAAAACAGTGTTTTTAAAGGTTAGGCTTTAAAATAAAGCATGTTATACAGAAGCGATTAGGATTTTTCGCTTGCGAGCAAGGGAATGTATATACTAAATGCGACACTGTATGTTTCTAACATATTATTATTATAAAAAAAACATTGTGTGAATATCAGTTTTAGAATAGTTCCTCTGGTGGATGCAATGATGTTTCTGAAAACTGCGATGTAAAACCTGCCCTGTGTATAACATTTCGTACTATATTATTGTTTTACTTTTCAGCAAACATGAAAAATGTGTTTTATTTCATGGGAGTAAAATATAACGCATACATATTTGTCTGGATTGTTTTTCTCTTAATCTACACATTGGCAAGTGCTTCACAAAGAATGACTTTTAACTGATTTCATCCCTTTGCCAGGTTCCATAGGGAGCTCTGTATTTTCTTTTCTTGATAGGATACAGACAAATCTTGATTATTTACCTGAGATGGGAAAAAAAGAAATCCAAGCATCAGTCACACAGTGAACAAGCCAATGAACTCAGGCTTTTCTTGAGTCCTCTCCTTTCTACTTTGGTTTACACCCATAGAATCCCATCATTCTAAATAGATAATGGTTGCAGGAAAGTGAAAGACGGTAAAATGATGGAAGGAAGGAAGGTAGGAAGGAAGGTAGGAAGGAAGGAAGGAAGGAGGGAGGGAGGGAAGGAGGGAAGGAAGGAAGGAGGGAAGGAAGGAGCCAAGTATACTTTTGTATGACTACCATGTTCAATTCTTAAAGAAAAAATAATTGTAAGAAGGAAAATTTTCTCTGGAGAAATACTGTGTGTATACAGATATACAGTATATAGATAGTGTGTATTATATGTATGTCCTTCTTGACTTTATATATATGTATAGATATATTATATGAAATACATTTACAAAGAAACACCTCCTGTTCAAAATATTTAGTTCCCTAAGTTTATGTTTCAGGCTTAAGTAGAGAGATCCTTCATGTAATATTGCATTACGATTTCTAAATCCTTTGGAGACATTAAAAGAAACAAAGACCATTTCAAATAACCGCAGCCCTTCAGTATCTCAAAGAGCTAGGAGGTTGAAAGGTTAGATTGAAGTTTCCTGAGTCTTGTAGAGCAATATGTCGTCGAGGGAAAGGTCACGCTCCCTGTGTTTTGTTTTAAATAATATTGACCCATTAATTCTAAACCTGCTTGTTCGTGAAATTATACAGGATTATAGTTTGCAAGCTCCAAGACAATGAAGCAAATCAAGATGAATTACAGCCGCGGCCCTCCCGTCTTCTGACATCTGAACAGAGGAATGAGGTCGGCCTGATGTTCCAAAGAATTTAGAAGGAACTCAGGGGCTTTTTTTTTTTCAGTATGAAGTGTAATTTCGTAACAAACACTATTCATCCTGAAGAATTCGTCATTGGTCTACTGAAGATTTGCTTGATGGGGGGGGGGGGCCGAAGGAGAAGGGGGGGATTGAGGAATCCCGTTGGGTTTTTGTTTTTGTTTTTCTTGTTACCTTCTCCCCTCCAAAGTAGTAAGTACTTTGAAGATCAATACTGTGGCTGGGAAGTGAGGGAAAGAAGCCCCAGTCTCTACCTGTTTTTCTGTATCAGGGAAAACCTATGTTTTTGTACTTGGATTGCTTTTATCTGTTTAAAACTACCTATTGTCTCCTCGGATGGCTGACACTGAGGCTGTGTTCTGCGTCGAATCTCGCTGCCTCTTAAAGAAAAAGATCACAGATAAATGTCTCTTTAGAGATGAGCGCTCTCAATGCACATTTTCTCTCTGTCTCTGTCTCTGTCTGTCTTTGTCTCTGTCTTGTCTCTGTCTCTCTGTCTCTCTCTGCCTCTCTCTGTCTCTCTCTCCCTGGAGCTGCTGCCAATCTACAGCTGGGATCACGTGGTGCTGGGGGCAGGTAGAGGCCCTTTGGAACAAGGGGTCACCTCCTTCCTTGTTGTTCTCTCCAGAGCAGTGGAGAGGAAAAGGGTCCACAGGGGCGGACTTTGGCATCTGCGAGAGACTGCTTTGGTATCAGTGGTCAAGGGGGGAGGGGAGGGAGGGAGAAAAGAAGGAAGTGAAACAGAAATGGTAAAGAGACCAGGGAGACCTCTACATCTCTTTGATGGCGGGAATAGTTTGGAGGGGAAGTGCGTGTTAAAGGGATGGGAAGAAATGACTAGAGGGGCGCGGGGGAAGGGGGGAGGGAGTGGAAACTAGTCACAGTAGCTTGGCAAGAAGGTAGAGAATGGACTATGGTGGCTTCTTCAGAGGAGTTCACGTTCCACTTGCTTATTTAACAAACACACAGCCACCCATCTACAAGATGATCATACACAATGGAAAATGGAGTTGATGGAAAGTTGTAACGTCCTCACCTAGAGTGGAGGTGGGGACCCCTTTCCCCATATCAGTACTCTTTTGTCGCGACCCTCAGAAAACCCCTATTCTCTCCCCTTGCCCTGCCTTCAAGTCCACTTCTGTGACCCGAGGAGAGAGGAAAAAAAAAAGTTGGTTCCGGTGTTGTGGGGTTCCGGCTTCTTCTCCCTCTCCCCACCACCTCCCCCCTTCCACACACCTTTGGTCCTCTTTCCAGCCGTCACCACTGCCACCATCTCGGTTCCACTCAATCGATTTTTGCTGCATGTCAACACTTATTACCGGTGAGTGTGAGGGTATTTTCTCTCCCTCTCTAAGTCTCTTAATGATTTCTGAGCTAGTTGTGTATTAAAGTGCTTAAATGATCTATAGCATGAAAGTCAGCCTCCTCTACCTGGGTTCAAAGATGGCAGGCAAGCCCGCGCGCCAGATAGCTAAGTTCTTACTCACCTCGGTCTCTCCTCTACCCCTCGCCACCTCTAGTCTCTAGGCTGGACAGGCCCTTATCTTTGCAACTTTCAAAAAGGAGAACAGTGCTCAGTCTCTCTCACCTGTCAAAGGATCACCTTTTCTCCGAGATGTCTTTGGCACAGGCCTTTGTCTTCTTTTGCTGTAAAATACAAACAAAACAAAATCGCTTAAATTTACTTTACTTGAATTCACCAAAATAGAGGTCGAATATTACCCACTTTTGTACCTGAATTGCTTCCCAAATGGTACAGATCTCAGCTTGCTTGTGAGCTGATTAACCACCTCCCCTCCCCCCGCCCAGAGGTGGGAGTAAAGACGTGAGACCCAGGGTAGAAAGCCTGCTAGGTCACGTTTTTTTAAAAGAGCCTCTGGATCCAAGATGCTTTTAGATTAGGAGTCTAATCCACTGATTCAGTCTCTCTTGCCTTCACCCACCCACCCCCTCCTCCAGCTCAGCCTCACAGTTAAATCTGGGAGCCCTTCAAGAAGCATGAAAGAGTAGGGGTGAAGAAAAATCTAGTGGTGAAAAAGAAAGTGTTTTAAGTCTCAGTTCTTAACAAAATCCTCATCAATTTTAAGCCCTGAAGTTCAGCTGACCCTTTTTTGAGGTGGGTCTATTAAAAACAACACAATCTCAGTGGCTGGCCCCAAAGGGCCCCCCGAGTGCGAATAAACACTGGTGTCTGGCTGCCAATACACATCCTAATCCACAGGAACACTCGAGGTCCCCCAGCTCTCTCTCCGGGAGAGGAGATCTGGGGACTCATTCTGCAGTGCAGGTAGGATTGATTGCTCGGGCTTTCTGGAGCATTAGGATTTTTTTAGGGGATCAGAAAAATTATGCCTGTAATTACATCAGAGGCCTTTATGAATATAAACTTCTATTGATTGACTTCTTAAAAAACAAAACAAAAAAAACTAGGAAGCTTCATCTAATCTAAATAAATACACAATTGTAAGTAAGAGGTTGACAATAGGATAGAATGCAAAGGGGGGGAAAGGAAGATTTCTAGGAGCAGTTCTGTATGAAATCTTTTTTTAAAATTCTGTTTTCCCCCACAATCTCAGGTCTGGCAATTATAGTTGAACTTAAGCAGACTAAATGGTAATTCAAGATGGGATTTTAAAGAGCAGTTTAAGTAGAAACACGTTTGTAAGCACATAATGAATTTACCTTTTCAGATTAAAAGAGAGTGGGGGTGGAGAATAGGGCAAGTGCCCAGTGACTCCAGTAAGAAAGTATCTGAAAATCATAGAGGTTTATTTATCCTCCCCACTTCTTTTAACCCCCCCCAAATAAACACAGTTCACTCATTGTTGGCCTCTTATCTGTATAAGATAGAACTCAGAAGGTACTGTGCTTGAGATGCATAACTTCAACTCACCTTTGTTCTGAGTATTTTACGTGTTTTATTCAAATATTTATTTTAGATCCAGTTGGAAGATTTCAGAAAGCAAGGAAGAAAGGAAGTCTTCTGGGAGAGGAGATAGTTGGCTATTACCCCTGCTTTGTTGTGGCTTTTGTTGTCGTTTATCCCTACACTGTGACTGCTGCCATGATAATTTGTTTGGGCATTTGGCCTTACAAAATGGCAGCTGTAGTTAAAGAAGGGGTCGGTTGTTGTTGCAGCTCTTTATGGGAGAGTCCAAAAGGAGTTTTGTGCGCTATTTTAAACCTGTAATGGGCATACATTGAGCGTGATCAGTTTTGGGGGGAGGGGAACGTGAAAGTGTAGAATTTGCAGCAAGAAAGGACGATCTCCTAGACAGAGGTTCATAGCATTTAATCTAGAAGAGAACGCAGAATACATCATTCTACAGAAAAGGAAACTGAGGCCCGGGAAGCGTAAAGTCCAGCTACTCTCCCACTCCCCTTTTGCCAACAGGATACCCAAGAAGCAGAGTTTAAGTGATTTTTCTAAGGTCACAGAGGTGACCTTACACCTCACTACAGGTTCCCAATCCTTTCCATTATAATAATACCCCACTCTGTTGCTTTCCCCCCCTCAAAACTCCTTATAATAAAATCCTTCTATTTCCACGTAGCTCTACGAAACTGAAAAGGAGGACCAGCAGATCTGACCGGCAGTGTGGCCCTGCATAGATAAAGCCTGTGCCTCCTCAGTGCGCTGCTCATTCTCTGTCCACAAGGACAGGAGTCTTTTCAGACTTTTCAGAGCTCGCCAAATTAGTCACACAGAGGAGAGAGGGAGCAAGGATCTTTTTGAATTTGTCCCTAATGTTTTCTTCATATTGTCCCAGAAAGCCAGGCTCGATGCTTGCACTTGAATCCCCAAGTCTCGGGCCTGTCCATTCGAGACTGGTTTTTCAGTTTCACAACTTCCCATTCCCTCCCAGAAAAACGAGCCTCTTCGTGGAAGGGTTGACTCCTACCATAGAGCCGGACTCTTAGCTCTTTTGCTCGCAGTGTAGACCACCTTGAGTATTTTTAGCTGCTGACTTGGGAAAGTCGCGAGAGTTGTGGGGTGGGGGGGTCGGGGGGGATTGAGAGGACTAGAACGGCAGGGCGGGGGGGGGGGGGGGAAGGCCGGGAGATGAGCAGCATCAGAGTTAAATCAAGGGAGACGTTTTGATCTGATAAGACAGAGTCTGGTTTATCTGCTTCTCCAGAAACAAACCCCTTGTAAATGTTTGGCCTGACTCTGAGTCAGGGAGCTCCCTCTCCTTACCCAACCCCCGGCTTCTTCTCCGGGAAGGAGTGAACATTGCATTTAGGAAAGCTTCGGACTCAGAGCCCGCAGCGTTAAAAGTCCACAACCAGGTGGCTTCTCACCTGACAACCAGCCCAAACATCTTATTTAACTGCTAACTGTTAGAGCTGGAAGTGGTCTTGGAGGCGGTCGAACCCAACCCCCTCTTTATATAGCTGAAGAAATTGGCGCACAGAGAAAGTTAAGGAACTTGCCCACAGTCACGCGGCTAGCAAGTGCATGAGGTAGGATTTGAATTCAGGTTGTCCTGACTCCAAATCCAGTGTCCTCTCCACAAGGGAGAGAAGGAAGCCTGGGCCCCATTTTCCTTGTATGGGACTTCCTCTCCTGTCCCCCCCTCCCCGAGAGTAAATTTTTGTTGTTGTTGGGGGTAGTGGGGCTGAATTGGACAATCTATTTCCCCAGACTGTACTTTCAAAGGAAGAGCCAGAAAGGCGCCCCTAGAGCAGTGTCTATGTGTTTAAGAACTAGAGCTCCGGAAAAATCCGATGTGTGTATTGATATACAGAAAATTGCAATACAGTGTGCAGGGGACGGCCCAGCGCCCCTCTCCTTGCCTCCCCCTCCTCGTCTCCCTTCCCCCAAGCCTTAGTCCACAGGCTGGCAGTCCAGACTGGCATCACCTCCCAGCTGGCTCTGGAGCAGGCTTTTGCGTCCCCTTGGGCAAAGCGCCCTCCTCGCACGCGCATTTCCAGCCACGCCTTAGGCCCTGAGTGCACGTGCTGGGCTCCTTGAGGCCCCGCCACAAGGCAGAGGCTAGCCTGGCTTGCCTGGCTGGAGCTGGCCACTGCGCAAGGTCCCTTGCCGGAGCGGTGAGACTTGGCGCTTCGTGGGCGGTCTGCGCTCCTCCTCCTCCTCCTGATGCGCCGCCGGCGTGCTGCGGCCGCCGCAGCCGCCTTTCCGGGCCCCAAAGAGCTTGGCCTTGGGCTCCCGGGGCTGCTGCTCCGCAGTCTCCTGCTTCCTGAGTGCGCTGCACTGCGCCAGCAGGCGGATACAACCTCGGGGTCCTGGACGCGTCCTGCTGGGCCGGCGGGAAGCCTCCTTTGCTTGCACAGGGAACTCGGCCGCACTCTAACAGAACTCTGCCTTCTCTCCCGTTCCTGGCAAGTACAGACCGGGTCAGAGAAAGCAGAAAAGCGTTCCAGAGGATCAAAGAGAAACCCAGTAGACGATCTTCAAATCAGTTTCAGGGGGCAATTCAGTCCCCATTTATCTTCATTCACTCTCCCACCTTCTCCCTCCCCCTACAGCCTCCCTGCTGACACACACATCAATGCATATACCTTGAATGTCACTCCCCTCAGCCTCCTCTGCCTGCCTTGCTCCCAAGTGTATGCGTTGTTGAACATTAACCTCTCAGAGCTATAGCGTAGGGTAAAACGTTACATATAAAAATGAGTCATCTATCAGAATCTTGTAAAATGCATCTATAACGTAGGGATATTCTGAACCCAAGCCCACCTGATTTCATCCCCCCCCACCCCCAACACATGGCTATTACTCGCGTGTCTCTTTCGCAAATAAAAGTTGAGGACTCTTAAGGAGACGTGGGGTCAATTAGCCAATCACTCGCTTTTGAAGTTTCTCCTCTGTGAAAGTTTGAAGGATCTTCTGAGTAGTGAACTTGTAACTGTTTTTCACTGGATATGGATGGAGAGCAAGGAGGGGAGGAAAGGACAATGAGAGCAGAGGAATGTGTGTGGGGTGGGGCTTTCTGTGTTTGTGTGTCTGTGTATATGTGTGCTGGAGGGGATGGGTAAGTGTTATTAGAAGACATTCTTTGAAGGACTGAAAATGAGAAAACCAAAAGAAAGTGGAGGCTTGCAACAGTAACCAGACAGGCGAAGCCAAGGAGATAGAGATGCATCAGTGGGCTGCCACTCCTGGGGATCAGAGGCTGAATGAAAGGAGTCACCATGTCTCAAGAGAAGGATATCACAGGTGGGAAACACCTGGGACAGAAATAGCTGATGAGATTGAAAGAGTGTGTGTGTGTGTGTGTGTGTGTGTGTGTGTGTGTGTGTGTGTGTGTGTAATGCCTGTTGGGGAAGGATGGAGGGGAAAGGAGGGAGGGAGGGAGGAGAGAGAGAGAAGAGAGAGAGAGAGAGAGAGAGAGAGAGAGAGAGAGAGAGAGAGAGAGAGAGAGAGAGAGAAGGGATGAAATGAGATGAGTTGAGATGAGATAAGTGGAGAGTTGTGTTGTATCAATCTTGGTGAGATTTTGGCACATCAGTGTGCTCGGCCAAGGAAAATGATCCTCCCTAGGGTTGGAACAGAGTTAATTCCAACTGTGGTCCTTGATCACCCCACTTAGGGTTCCAAACATAACAACTCAGTTTTGTGCCAAGGCCTGCTGAACACAGGTTCCCCAAACCTGAGCAGTTCTCTGGTTTTAACACTTGAACTCTGACATGATTGTCCTTTAACAAGAAATAATAGTTTAAAAAAGGAAATGGAGTAGGGATAATTCTGCTTTAACATGTATGTCATCAAGAATATACAGATGCATATATACGTGAAAGAACAGAAAAGAGAAAATTCAAGTCAATTTTCTTTTGGATTAAAA